GGCACATTTTTGTAAAATATTTTTGCACATGCTGCAAGCAAAGCAGAGATGAGACAACGAAAATTACTTTCTAGTGTTATAAACTTTATTTCTGCTTTCTTGTTAGATTATTGGTAAACTTCAATTTTAATTCGTATGGATATTCTGTTAATGTTTAACCACTACCTATCGATCCAGTTTTGTATTTCCGAAAGATACCTGTTTTTTGTGCACTATTTTTTGAAGTTTTGACTACTGCTCTGTGAAATAATTTCAACTTTTAAACTTCTAAAAAACACAGAGTCGAAACTGCAAAAGATTTTCAGAAACTGATTGCAGACAGAGTAAAAAAAATCGTCGCTGATTTTTCGCCTAAATCCATAAGAATTGTGGAACCATTTTAACACAGAGTGAAATCAATCCCTTTCCATTGAAGACTTTGTCAGCAGCTAAAGTTGAGTAGCAATGGAAACGTTCAATGACCACCAAATAATCTAGATTATAACACCAAATTTAAAAATGCAACGTAAAAATAGCATGTTGTCTTTTATGAAACTTTCCACTGCACTCGAAAATACTCAAATTATTAAAAATCGACTGTGAAAAATATATTTTTCAACAGATATGTCTTTCCTCCACTATGTGCATCTTATCGCCTTTGAACTACATCAGTCAATTTGAAGAGGGAGCATAAGAGACCACAAAACTGTTAAATTACTTAAAGAAAACATTTTTAAAAATGACTCGAATAATTTTTACTGTTTCACTAATCGAAGAATCATAGTAAAAAATAACAAAACTGTACAAGTGCAGCAAATATGAGATTTCGTACCTTATTTATTCTTTGAATATCATTTTCAGTAAGTCATTTAGAAGTACCAGTGAGGCGAAAACCTAATTTGAGCACAGTGCAATCGGCCTGCAGCTAAAAATGAGCAAAGTTGGACAGAAAAGAGGTCATTCTACCAATCTGTTTAATTACGTAAAGTAGTAGTTAAAAAAACAAAACTGAGAGCAAACAATTTCTTTCCTCGCTTTTTTGATTTCTGCAAAACACCTCGTTCATCTTCTCCTGTAAAAACTTTTTTTTTTGTAGTTTAATGCATTTAAAGATTAGTCTGGTGGCACGATAAAACAAAATATTGTGGTTCGCTAGAAAGTCAACAACTTTTCAAATTCCGAACTCAAGTTCTAAATAAGAAGCAGATAATTGAAAAAAGAATTAATTAAAGGTAGAAGAGTGATGCAAATCATTGAAATTTTTTGATCGACGTCATATTTCTTTCAGCTTTCTTGCTTATGCGAAATTCAGTTTCTCACCAAAGCACTCTTGAGTTCCTCAGTTTTTTAATCGCTGAAAAAAGCGTACATAATATACTGCCACTGAATTGTTCAGTGTATTGCTGCTATAGACGTCTCTAAGCTATTACTTTCGCTTGTCGATGAAATACGCTCAAAAAAGAACATTTTGATAAAAAATCAACACAGCCAGTCACTTTAACAGTTTTCGCAGCATATCTACGTTTACGAAATACGGGTAATACGACTAGAATAAAGTGAGAAGATAGAGCAACGCCTGTGAAAACACCGCTAACAAAAAGTTACGAAAATTCTAATCAAAATTTACCACAAAACTGAAAATTTTATCGAATTACAATTATAACTATAGCAACTGGTTGTACAGCATCTGAGCAACATGCTTACCGTTCACCGCTGTAAACGTGAAAAGCAAAGCAAGTAAAGCTTTTGAAAGTTCCTTCCCAACAAAAAAACTTAAATGTTTGAAAACTGCGAAAAAAAAAGAACCCAGTAAAAGTTAAGACCGACTATTTTTTTTTTGCGGTATCCTATTGCAGCAGTAGAAAAAGAGCCACGTTGCACAAATTCAACATTTTCTGCCGCAATAGCAGCCACAAAAAATCAGATTTGACAGCTGTACTTGACCAGAGTCATGCACAAATGTTTTTGCCTATGACACCACAATTTTCTGTGAGAAGCATGATAGCTTTTGAAATCCATTGTTTGGCATGGTTAGGTTTTATACTTGTAAGACAAAAGCAATTACTGAAGAAGGCCCAAAGGCGAAGCTCAAAGTACAACACCATGTTATAGTGATGCATTAATACTTTATTCTTCAGCCGTACTACGCTTTAATTCTTTTTGTCACTTTTCTACTTTACTGTTTTTTGCAAGATAAGATAACGTACGTCATTTGGTTTTTGTGGCATAAAACGTAGTAATTTTTCCCCTTGTGTTTTCTTTTTCAATAAAGACGTTATTCTTTCATAATAATTCAGAAAATGCAAGCGACCTATAAAAACCAAACCAAATGTGGAAAAAAACTTTTTTAACACATTTTTTTCTTAAAAAAAGAAAATCAATTACGATTTACTGAAAACCAGTACTATTTCACCTTATGTGACTAATCTCTCGACGAAATTTTATTCTGAGGTTAAATTTTTTATCTACAATAGAAGGTCTATTTACTCGTAACTAATGACTTTTTCTCATCTCAAACGTTTAAATTAATTAGATTTTTGTTCTTTACTGATGACAAAACGGTACATTCATCGTCTGATTATTAATTACTTTGATCGTTACTACCTCTGCAAAACCGCTGCAAGATGAAACTGTGCTGAGAGATAGCAAATATAGAATAAATGAACATGCTTTCTGCTCAATTTCTCTGGGCCTAACTAAGTCTTTTTTAATTCTGATTGAATTTTTCCTTTCAACTTCAGTTAAAGAATCAAGTATTTGGGCTTTGTATGTCCCGAGAATGAAACGTTCGGTGCGAAAAAAATTCCAATGAATGGTTTTATTAGAACAGAAATCCTTGTTTCTTGTTCTAACATGCTGCTACTATTTTTAATACAACAATTTTTTCATGATGATAGAACAAAAAAAAATTACCTTTAAAAGTTAGCTCATTTGAGAAATTTAAGCTATTTACCCAATATACTCTCTAAAAAACTCAAAAGTAACAGTTTATTATTTAACTCAACTGTCGTTCATTTTCTGTGTTTAAGTAACTAACACAGTTGGATCTTCAAGAAACTTTTTCCAAGAACCGCTGCAAAGTACCATTTGATCATTAGCTGCAAAAGTCGAATCGTTTTAACACAAATGTGTCTAATTTTTATACTATCTCGTTATTATGCTATCAATAATTTCTTTCGCGAACTTTTTACCAGATCTTACTTTCTGCAAAAACTTCGCTTCTCAAGATAATTTACACGTTCGTAATTTTGTAAAACTTATAAATTTTTTTTTAAGACTTTTTACTCAAAATAAAGACAAGCGCTTTATATTTCTTACGTACGGTGTATTTGCATCAACTTTCTTTTTAGTTACTATCATCACTTCGTATCGTCTTCCAAGTAAGCAAGACTCAAATTTGGTCTAGAAGAAATATTTTTATACGACCTAACTTCTGTGCTGTTATTCTGTCGCGGTAAAAACACCATGTCCGAAAAAACAGCCATTAGGTCGAAAATAACAGTAACAGTGCTAATTGTTATCATTATTGTTTTCTACTTCGGCACAAGTTTTATATTTCAAGATTCAGTATCTAAAGTTTTCAAATTGAAATCATTGTTCAAAAATGACACTTCCTCATCACAAAAGATAGGTATCTGTTTTAAAACTGTTGGATTTCAAGAATTTTATAAAACTTTAAAATAAGTTATTGTTAGGAATAGTAATTTTTGTGCTACCTGCACAAATTTTTCAGAAAGTCCGCATTTTAACAATTCTGTGCTTGCTGGGGCGCTGTTACTGTCGCAAATAAATCGACGGTACTTGTTAATGGCATACAAAGGCAATCGTCTCATGTACTCTGACTAAATAATCTTCTTTTAATTATAATATTTTAAGTAATAATTATTCAAGCTGCTGCTACTTTAAGGACGATTAGCAAACTTGATGTTCGAGTACGCTTCAGCACTAGGAATAGCGAAGAAAAAAGATGCACGTGTAGTTATACCGTCCGATTCTTTCTTACTGGCTGCATTTAATTTGACTGCTATAGTTGTGAATCCTCTCTTTTATAAATACTTGATTGATGTTCAAAGAAGTCTCATGAGGTATGAGAAAGTAAGTATGAAATACTACGCTCACACAAAAATAAAACACCAAAATTTTTGCTCACTCATATTTTACAGAAACTGAACTGACCCTTTACAGATTTGTATTTTTTGTGGTCAGCTGGAACTTTTCAGAAAAGTTCTGCGTATGACGCAGATCTCGTAAACAAGTCGTTTTCGGACTCGCAGCGGCAGTTTGAATTAATTGACGGTTACATGCAGTCGTTTCTCTACTTTGAAGAAAGCGTAAATTTTAAGATTAAATGTTCTACTAGAATTTCATTTTTTAGATCCAAGAAACAATTATTTCTTTTGTGATGAAAAAAATTATATTTTGCAGATGTTTTTATCTGCTTTCAGAAAAAAATCTTATTTCTAGAAATCCATCATAAAACAAGAATTCACGTTCTTGCCTAATATCAGTAGAAGAGCCGAAGAAAGACTGAAAAATATTTCACTGCAGCATTCAAAACCTCTCAACCAAAGTATGAATCAATTACCAATCAGTGTGGCTGTCATTATAAAAACATGTTAACTGCTCAATCGATTCCTTATGATACCAGCGTTTCAGCTATCGTCCGCTGACTGACGATTTATTTTTCTAAGATTTTCATAAGCAATAGTAATAGTTTATTTAAAAAGTATAAAGTAAAAAATGCTATTAAATGCGTTTACTCAGAGCGGAGGACTATAAAATATTAAATAATTTTTGTCAGGTTACTTTTTCTGTCAAAAGAAATGTTAAAATCAAGAAATCAACAAGAATTACTGACACTTCCACTGCCATTTTACCGTTTATGCAGTTTTATCTTTTTCTCTAATTTTATAAGCTGTGAAACATTAAGTGTAAAAGTTTCTGAGGCAGCTTTAAAACAAAAAGCACAGAAGTTCTTCCAAATGAGAAGATTGAAAGCCAAAAAGTTCGACTAGTAGCTCTGCACTTGTCAGGACCCTTCTTTAAATTCATATTTCTTCAACTATCGTTTATTGTGACGTATTGTTGATTATGCTATACTTAATGTGCTTCTTTTCAATTACAGCATTTATCGGTGTTCACAATAGACATGGTGATATTGCACATGAAGCTTTTGGTCCGTCACTCGGATACGCTTTGGCTACTGAACAATATTTTGAAAAAGCATTATCATATTTTAGGTATTTTTACTTTTATTTTTTTTTACCCAGGATTATTTAATAAATTAGAGAGGATGTAATTACACAATGCCATTTTTTAACATGTAAGTAATCAAGTGTGCTCAAAACGAAGAAGTCACTTTAGTGCTGATTCTTCCTCACTACTTTTTTTTCATTTGCTGAACTAATAAATTAGAGAGGATGTAATTACACAATTACACACATGGTGATATTGCACACGAAGCTTTTGGTCCGTCAATCAGATACGCTTTGGCTACTGAACAATATTTTGAAAAAACATTATTATATCAGCATTTAAAAGCATTCAAAAGCGTTCAAAGCATTCAAACTGGTTTGAGAATGGAACTAAAAATTTTCGACAAAGAAAATGATCAGGCAATTACAATGGGAAAAGTGATTTACAACTCAAATCATTTTCTCGTGCCTACAAATATTCAAAAAATTATTATGCTTAGACAAGTCCAAAATTAAGGTTTTTTCAAAAATATGTAGGCAAAACATGCACAAAATATTCAAAGACGATTATATCCAAACCTTTTAAAGCTTGTAAACGCTGTGAGTTTTAAATATCCAGAAAAATAAATCTTGTGCTTGTACAGTACCTAACAAGTAAGGCTTTTCATTTTGCGCTAATTTTTTTGAAAGACTCTGGAAAAGAGAAATCAAATCTGAGTGTACAAAAATTTTGAAAAAAAAGACATTTTACAAAAATTTTAGAAAAAAATGTTGTAAGTCATTTAGACACTTTAAAAATCTTTCACATTGTTTAAGGTCCAAGTACAAAAACCCTGTTTTTTTGGTCGCTAGTGATGACATGAACTGGACAATGACTGCACTTCAAAAGTATCAAAAGGGTAATGAACATTTTGCTTTTAGCATTTCTTAATCTGGTCAATGTTTAAGAAGTAAAAAAAAAAATAAGTGATTGTTGTGTAATAAGATTATCAAGCTAAATGTCAGTAATCTTGAATGCTGCATACAAGCTACTGCTACAAGCTACCCACAAGAAAAAAAATTTTAAAAGGCAAGTGAAAAACTTTGGAAAATGTAAAGTAAGATTATACTTAAGACCTAAGTTATCATTTATCAGTGAATTTAAAAAAGTTGTGCTTTATAAGTGGAATCAACTTTAATAGAAAAGAAAGTGTTACAAAGACTTGAATAGATATATGAGCAAGATAGCTGTGCTGTTGGCAAGGTGAAAATCTGATGTTAAGACTTTATATGCCCAGAAGTAATAGAGAAAGTGTAACGAGTAAAAATACAATTGTTACTTCCTTTCCGCAAGAGTACTTTTATCCTAATTAGTCATGACACCTTTCTATCAAAAAATTTCTGTTTTCTATTATTTATATAAATTCTTTACAACTCTTGGTTAATTCAAACTTACTTTTTGACTAAGGTTTTTTTCTCGTAAGTTTTAACAAAATAAAATTAAATGTAGATCTAGTTTCAGGCGATGTATATTACCTAACAAATGAAACGAGAGAGGTCGATATGGCAACGTTAATTATGTGCAATCACACTATTGCAAGCACCATTACCTTTTCTTGGTGGAGCGCTTACTTAACAGGAGGTGAAGTAATATATTACAAAGACTGGCCAACAAAGAATTCTCGGTTGGAAAAAACAGTTGTAAAAAAAGAATATTTTCCTTCTTCTTGGATTGGAATGGCTTGATAAAAACAGTATTTGTTAGTTATGTTTATCAGTGATTGATTTTTGTGCGACGCAGGTAGTCTTTGACTACAATATCATTTCAAAAAAAATGCGATTAAGATTCTTTTGAAGCTATTTTGAAGTTTCTATTTATTGCACTGATACCACGGTTAACTATCATTAAAGAGAAACCAGTAGCTACAGTTTTCACATTTTACCTATAACTACAACAACTAACTGCTAGTTTGAGCCGAAGAGTAGCAATACGGTATAAAGTTTTATGCGACAGGTATTGTTTTCGCAGCAGTTAATATATCAAAATTAGTAGTGCAATTATTATGCCAGTACAATTGTTAAAACGCATTTGCGGTACATTATGTGCCTGACAACGGGAGATAGAAAGATAGCGTGCACTACAAAATCTATTCCGAATAGCTTGTCAAATTGACTAAGCTGTTCTAAAAAAGAACTATTTTTATGCTCTTCTGGATGCAGTAAAATATACTGAAAAATAAGCATTTTCTGTCTTTTCTAGAAACAAATTCATTATTATGTCTCTTAGTTAATGATCTCGTAGTTACTGCTTTGTAAGATTCTCTCTCTACAACGTGCCCTGCGGCAAAGTCGATGATAAGTTTTAAAAAACAGCTGTCTGACAAAATAAACTTCTTAAGTGGTCTTGTTTTCTCAGTAATAAAAAAACTTGGTTAAAGATCAGGTTGCGACTGAAGAAAATTTATTAAAATTTAGTTGTAATATCAATTTTTTAAAAGTCTACCGGTAAAAAAATGAAATTTGGAAACACCATATGTTTAAAAAAAGCCCTCTTTCAATCTCAATGAGCTTTTAAGTCAGTGCTCCAACAAAAAAATGCCAACTTTTATCTGCCTCGCTTTTAGATAGATTGATGTGAAATAAGCGTTCTCTTTTTACCCTGTCACTGTTGCACTTCAACTTTCTAAACCTTATCTTCTTGCTGCATTTTCCTAGCTACGTTTTATTGCCAAGTGTTGTAATTCATAATCTTTTTTTTTTTTTTATTTTTTTAAAAGGCGGTACAAAGAGAAAGGAATAACGTCAATCGTTTACTGTTTCTCTGTACAAATACTTTTTTTTTAAATTTATTTCAACCTTGTGCTATTACATTATTGATAAAACAAATAGACATCAATGCAAACATAAGCTTGCTTGTCTGACTCATAATCAAAGCATTTTCCTAGAGACGTATGTGTATCAATTCACATAAGGCGCGTGGTAGCTCGCAATGTCTGGGAAAGTTAGTTATGCGAAAATTCAGTGCAAAAAGCGGTATAAAACGAAGATTGCGATAGGTGAATCAACAATTCAAAATTTGAAAACAACATTAATTATAGAAAAAGCAATCGCAATCGTACCGTATAGTCTGCGTTTACGACCTTTATTATCGTCACCACTAAATGGGATTAAAATATAGGCATTAAAACTAGAAATAACATTAAAAACTTTCGACTTTGAAAGCGTTAGTCGTTATTTCTGATGTAGCGAACCCAATCATATTTCATACAAACACCCGTCTGTAACTGTCGTTTTCAAAAAGAAACAACGAATGTGGAAAAAGTTTATCTAAAAGAAATAAATTTGCTTTTGAAACACTAGATAAACTGCTGAACTTCTTTGTTGTAGAAGTTCTGTAATGCGAAAAGGTGAGAGAAGATTCACGAAACACAGTGTTTAACGCTGATTAACTTAGAATTATAAGCATTTCATATGTGACAGAACTTGAAAAAAATCGTTCAAGAAAGGCGCTTGCAAAGAATGATTGACACCTGCTGATGACCCCTGGCGACAATAGCTTTTAAACCTTGGCTTATAGCAATCGATATTTTTCAGTTCAACGCTCAGAACCTCAAACTAACAAATTCTTTATTCTTTACGTGATATTTACGAGCAAAATTTAAAAGAGGTTAGAAAATAATATGCTCAAATATGTTTCAACAAGAGAAATGGCAGACTAGAAAGACGTACGAGTATTGCTCTTGTCAAAGGCCCTTTTATTAAATGCATTCAACATGAGAGACATAGTTGTGATCAACGAAACCTACGTTAATTCAATATCAAATCTGCATAAAACAGAATCATTCAGGTTGAGTAAAATAACTGTGGCTATATATAGCTAAAAGAGCTTAAAAAAATCATGCAAACTTTGTCGCAAAGTTCTAGAAGTGGTCAACGAAGTGCGATTTTTCTGGCTCTATACTTTTTGTGCAGTGTTCCTCTTAACGTTCAGAAAAGTAAACTTACCTATTACATAATCATTGTTCAGAGCACCTCTACTGTTTCTTCTCTGATCAAGTAGTAGTAAACTGTTTTCTAAAAATTGTAAGCTATTTTGTGTTTTCTTTTCAGATTGCTTCTTCTATTTCAATTACTGCATTTGCTAATGTGCATAACAGACGTGCTGACGTTGTTCACTCAAGATATTTAGTTAACCAAAGATACGTAGTCGTCACTGTGCATTACTTTAAAAACGCTTTATACAATCCTTGATAATCTTATGCAGTTCTTTACTCTGTTTGAATTCTTTAAAATAATAAAATTAATAACTTAATCATATTCCTTAAAAATAATCTTCAAGTGTGAGCTTTTGAAATCTAGTGCTTCAAGTTTTTTCCAACTGTCTAGGAGAAAAAATCCGTTTTAAAAAAACCTGAAGTTGCTTGAAGCACATGTTCCTACTAAATTTCCCACTAATCGCAGAGCCAAGACTTATCATTTTTTTAGCATAGACAGTCACACTTTTTTTCCAAATATCTGTTTATATTTTCTAAATTTGATTGGAAGACATATTTGATAAAAACAAAGCATCGCCTCCAGAAAAACTAGCACGGAATAATCTTTACATCTTCTAATCTTTAAATCTGTAAAAATCTTTACTACTTCTCGACTGAGCGTTAGCTGGTTTAGAATCAAATATAGGGATGCAGTTTTCGTAGTTGTTAGCGATGACATTTAATGGACAATGACGGCGCTTGAATCGCTTCAGGAGGGTATTTTCTTACAGACAGTTTTGTGAAGAAAAAAGCAGCTAAGCAGTGTGAAGCAGTCTTTGCAAAAAAGAAAAAAGACTGTAACACATTCTGACAACTTTAAAAAAGTAAAAAGAAGATTTGCTGCCTTTAAAAGCACATAATTCTTGTTATTATTTTCCCGGTATAAGGCGTCGAACTCAAGCGGTAAACTTTAAACATTTTTTCAATTTGCGAAAACGCTAATGTTGTACAAACCGGTCGCTTGTGAGTGTGTGATCATATGAAGAAAGCAGTGTAGGTTGGTGAACCAGCCTTATTGTGGTAAATCGGCAAAAAACTTTCAAATTTTAAAAGTTTAAACCGTACGTGCTCCTTTCAACTCGAAGCATATTGGTGGAGATACAGCCAGAACGAAATGCTTGCCTGCTGAAACAATTTCAATTTTATAAAAAGAAGATTCGTACCGACCTGATTTTGGAACAGCATTTGCTCAATTAGGATGCCTATTCTAGAAGATCATGAAGTCATTAGGATGATCTACGGGTGAGCGACTGAAACAAGATGGTCATTACTAGGAGTCACCACCTTCATTTTTGTTAAATATTAAAGTTCATTAGCATTCTCTGAAGAAAAAGTGCTGCGAGGAAAAGCTGCAAAACTGCTAGAATATTATCAAAGATACACGACAATGAAAAAGCTAGCGTAGAATATAAGATCAAATGACAAATTTGTATATGGAGCTTTTACGGTGGAAGTATTTTTTATATGAAAAAACAGTTTCGATCTTTTTCAATCTTTTCAGCAAGCGTTTGAAAAAAAGCTGACCTTTTTTCTATTTTTTTATTTACTTTACTTTGCTGCAGATTAATAAAAAATATGTGTTTTCTTGTTTACTTCGTTTTTGTGACACTATGACCTTGTAAATTCTACAATTTCGCTGCATTTTTAAATCTACACTATGTGTTTTACTTTGAAGCCGCATCATTTTTTTGGTCTGATCTAATGTGGAAAAGAAGAATCTTCTTCTTCCATTTTGTTCAGAGGCAACACAATAGAAAACGCGTAACCTCAGCTCTTTGTTGCTTCTCTTGACAAATTACGAGAGGATTTCATTAAAGCTTGTATTATAACAATGCTAGTAAAAAAAATTAAACATCATAGCAAACGTAGACAGGCATGCTTGGCTCAGAGTCAAGGCACTTTTTTAGAAACGTATGTATACCAATTCACATAAAATTTGTCGACCGTGGTCACTGACAATGTCTGAGAAAGTTAGGTATGCGAAATTCCAGCGAAAATGTGGCATTCAAGTAAGATTTGTGATCGGTGAACCAGCAGTTCAGGATTTGAAAAACAACATTACTCTAATAAATACCAGCCGAAGTCATACTTTTACTGTCTTCATCAGTGTGTAGCAAAAAAGTATGAGAGTTAAGGCTAGAAGGAGATTTCAACAAAAAGTTATGATTTTCAAAATTCTGGCTGTTACTACTGGCGTTTTATATCTGGTCAAATTTGCTAAATACACATTTGTGTATAACTGTCGCTTTGAAAAGGAAATAACAACTGTGGTAAAAAATTTGTCCAAAACGAATGAATTTGCTTTCAAAACGACAGGTAGTTAGCCAAGCTTTGCTGTTGTAGAATTTTTGTAAAGCAAGAAAGACTAGAGGATTTACAAAGCATTGTGGTTAAAGCTAACTAAGTCAACATTATAGACAGTTTCTATGAGACGAAGTCCGCAGTGAACTGTTCGGATTAGGCGCCTATAGAAAATGAACAATATCTACTAACAACTTATGGCGGTTACTGCTTTTAAACTTTGTCCGGTCACGATCAACACTTTTCAACTAAATGTTTGAAACCTGAAACTCGCAAATTTTTTTGTTTTTTAAGTATCATTTATCAGCAACATTTTAAGGACGTTTGGGGAATCATATGTTTAAATACGCTTCAACAAAAGGAATGGCAAACAGGAAAGGTGTACGAGTGTTGCTTCCGTCAAACTTCCTTTTATTAAAAGCATTCAACTTAAGAGACACAGTTGTGAATCATGAAGCCTACAACAGTTTAATAATAGAAAACAAGAATTTTGTAAGGCAGGAGGAAGTCAGTAATAAATTTTACTCTACTATGTTATTACATAAAGAATGCTTTTGTCTACAATTCGTGGTATTTTTGATCTTTTTATGCTCTTGCTGGATCTGTTAAAACTTGATAACTGCGTTTGCAGAGCACGTACGTATACGACACAGACATAGAACAAATGCTCTTCACTGATCCAAAACGGAGTCTAGAAATAATTGATGGTTATTTACAGTCTTTCGAATACTTTACAAAATTTGTAAATTTATTTTCTTCAATTTTGTGTTTTAATATTTTTTTGAGAAAAAATACACCTTATATTTCAGAATTTTAAAAAAAAACTTGAAATTTTTAGCTACTTTGCTAGTGTGTCTCCTTCAAGAAAACTGTATAAAAGAAAAATTCACTTTTTTGCCATAGATGGTCAAAGCAGCTGAAGAAAATCTTATGCAAATTTCATCGCAAATTCCCAAAAGCGATCAACGCAGTACGATTAAAAACATTAGTTTTATGCTTCCTGTGACAGTATTTCTGTCAACGTTTGGAAAAAATAATTCACCTGTTTTATATATATCATTCGAAGCATCTTTACTGCTTCATATTTGATCAAACAGCACCAAACTGTTTCTGCGAAATCTCGTAGATTATTCTATGTTCTCCTGATTAATCGCTCTTTCTTTTTTAAATACAGCCTTTGTCGGTTTGCATAACAGACGTGGTGATATTGCTCACTCGAGATTTAGCTAAACAAGAGCACGCAGTTGCAACCGTACATTACTTGAGAAAAGCTATATCCCATTTTTGGTAACCTTGTGCAGCTTTTTGCTCTGTCTGAGTCACTTACTGTATTTCCATTCTTAAATGTATACTTTTGAAAACTGAGGCTTCAACTTTTTGCTAAATGGTGAAGAAATTCGTTTTAAGAAAGATGAGGATTTGCACGAATAAGATGTCTCTATTAAACCTTGTACTTATCGAGGTGTTGAGGTTCACTACTTTTTTAACAAAGACAGTTTCACATTGACAACTGTTTTTTTTTTTTTTGAATATCTGTTCAAATCTTCCAAATTTGATACCGAGACATGTTTGGAAAAATGTGAAGCATCGGCTATCAAAAAGTTTGACGCGGCTTTTTTGATCTCTAATTGTGATAGTTTTTACTACTTGTCAACACAAGTAAGCTGGTTTAGGATCAAATGTGAGAATGCAATTTACGTAGTTGCCAGCGATGATATTCAATGGACAACGATGGCGCTTTAGTCGCTCCAGAAAGGTAATTTTTCATAGTCATTGTTGTTAAAATGAGCAGCTCAATTATCTAGAAGACTTCTGTAAAAAAGAAAAGAAGAAAAAGAAAAGAAAAAGACTGTAATTTTGAAAGAGTGAAAAAGTGGTTTGCTGCTTTTGAAAGCACATAACTTTTATTGGTACTTTTTCAGTATAAGGCGTCAAACTAAAGTAATAAACTTTAAAAAATTCTTCAGTCTGCGAAGATGCTATAATAAGGTGTTTGTGAGTGTGTGACTATATGAAGAAGGCAGTGCAAGTAGGTTTATTGATCGAAAAGTAGTTCAGGATAAGAGACTATTTGACACTTTAGTATGCCAAACTTGTGACCTCTTTTAGGTCTTGATTTCTTCAAAGCTTTATATAGCTGCAACAGCAAAGAAAACCTGCCGGTTAGTATTACATGAGTTTTCAAGCGACATATTTTATTTAACAAATTCGTCGACAGAAGTGGATATGGCAACTTTGACACTGTGCAATCACACTATAGCAAGCGTCGGCACATTTTCGTGGTGGATTGGGTATATGACGGGTGGAGAGACTGTCTATTACAAAGGATGGCCCAGAAAAAGTTCTTCATTAGCATCCAAATTTGTTCCAGCCGATTACTTCCCTTCCTCTTGGATTGGAATGGCATAGGATTTCTAAATATATAAAAAACAAAAAATGATCTTAAAACTGCCCTTCTTTACTGCACGCATAAATGGCTTCAATTAATTCAAAAAATTAAGCACATTTTTTCGATTTTTTGTAATTTGGTAAAATATAGTCAACTTTCCGACAGCAGTACATACGGTCGTCTAAGACCGTGATCACTCTTCTAATGAAATTTCAGAATGCTATGAATTAATGGCAAATAATCAGTAGGTTGCAAGATTTAATTTCCTTTAGTTCTTTTTAAACTTTTACTTTAATTAATTGCTTTTCTTTTGTTGCTTTTTTATCAATCAAAATTTGATTGTGAAGACCATAGAAAAACTCTGAATTGTTCAACCACAAGTGAGAGCAGAGGAAAAAACTGAACAGTTGGATTCCTCGAGTGCGCAAGATGGTGTAGCTGTACATCTGAATTTGCTGTAAATCATAAGCAGAATTTGCATTGTTGAAACTGAAGCAGTTACTGAAAAGCCACAAAAATGTGATTTTTACTTCAAGTTTTTGTTAAAACGATTTTGAAGGAAATACTGTGCTGGCACAAAGCATTAACATTTTATTGCTCAACTGCTCGACATTCCGTATTTTCTGTTAGAGATTTTTTTTTGCAATATAAAGTGACAACTGCGGTAATGATTGATTTGAGCTGGCATAAAATGCAAAACTTTAGTTGAACTATTGAAAACTTTTCCGATTGAAGAATTTTCGTTTGCATAACTGTGTTTCTCTGCGGGTCCGAATCTCTGCTCTTGCCCACTGCAGGTGAGCGCAGTTGGGGATGAATACAGTTTCAGCATAGCTTTCAAACGCTTGTACTTAATAGCACTTTTATTGATAAAGATTTATGGTGATGCTGTGCAATTGACTCTTATCTATTAACTCTTCGTTGATTGAAATCCTCAAATATTACAATCAAACAAATACTGGAGATAAAGAGACATAATTATAAAACCTAATTAATACCATAATTGCTTGACTTGTTATGAAAAAAAGCGCTGATCAGTTGACCTTCTAGTTTAGCAGTAGAAAAAGTCACGAATTGACGAAATACAAAGAGAACGAAAAAAATTTAAAGAAAAAAAAGAGTAACCAATGAAACATTAGCTGAAAGAAATACAAGCTAAACTGACGTGAAAACGAAGGCGTTGCAAGCTTTACTTGAGCACGACTTATAAAACAAATAAAAGGTTTGAAACAAATTCAGAATTAATTTATATGTAATTTCAAAATTATAGAAGCTCCAAAAAATGAAAGACCATGCACCTGTACTTTGGTTGAAATTTTATTGCATTCTTCTAGACTTTTGTCATGTCTTAACAGAAGCATTATTTTTACGGTATTTTAGAAACTTGTATAACTCGTAACATTTAAAAGGTCATCTCAAAACTAGAAGTGTGACAAACCATGAATACGCAAAGTGGATTGACAACCAACAGCCAAGTAAAGAGGCGTTTGGCTGTCTGGAAATACGTCTTCGCCTATATCGTTGTAGCACCAGCTAAATTCATCTCTGATTCAAATCCACTTGTTGTTCTGGTGAAAGGTTCAATTGTAAAACCGTGAGTTACCGCACCGTCTTTGCCTTAAAGAGAGAAAGAAGCGACTTGCAACAAAGCAGCATCACGTCGTGAAATTTGGAATTAGATATTTTTGCGCAATACCATTATATTCAGGTACTTGCCAAAAAATATTATGACAAAGCGATTAAAGTTGGTACAGAGAAATGAAATAATAATAAAGACAGATCGTTATAGCACTTGTCAAACTGTGAGCTATTTATAGGCAGTAAGTATACTTTATTACTTTCCTAATAGGTTTATTACTTGAAAAATTGTTTGATCTCTAAGGAAAGATATGAAGTTTTAAGAAAATTCAGAGTTCTGAAATGAGTTTCCTCACTTGAAGACTCACGAATTGCTTTATCAGACTTTAAGTGGTCGTGACAAAGCAAGCGTACAAAGAAAAAAATACCGTCGGCTTATCCTATTTTTTATGTGCTTAAGCAAGTAATTTGCAGCTGTAGTATGCAGCTTAGCAACTAATTCTTCTTTTAAGACTATTACTTAGTGATGAACACTATCTTTACATCAGCATATTTTTTCCGCCGTATGCGTCGCACTACTTTTTTAACCTTCAAATGGCAAAATTAAAAGATATGCAGCATCTAAAAAAAAAACTTGTGTAGACCGTTTGCTAAATGAACCTTATTTCCAAACTAGTCGGAGAAACCAAACTAGCTGGAATGCTTCTCTTAATTCTTCTTTTCTTCTTCAGCTTCTTTTAACTTAAGATAACCAAAACGAAAACTCTGGCACGTTTAATTACGTCATTAACAACATCAACAAATTTTTTAGGGCCCATTCAAGGAGCAAGTAAAGGAAGTTAAATGAATTCTTCTGCTTCTGACTATATATTCGCATGTAACAAGAAACTCAAAATTTAAAATCTAAAATTTTTTTAAATTTTACTTTTAAGAACCAAATATGCTGCTCTACACTAAAATTCCTAATCATCGTATACAGAATTTACGTACTTTCTAAGAAATAAAATTATTAATTTTTATACTGAAATGCTAGTTGCTCACCATTTCTTAACCCTAAATTTTAAGCTGCTGCAGCACTGTATTAAAAACAATAACAAACCAGTAAGAAATAAATTTCTTTTTTTTGAGCCATCAAATGAAATCTTATTATACGACCATACTTTTTCTATGTATTTTTATGCGCTCCACGAAAAACCATTTGTTATAACACCAAAAAACTGAAAAAAATGCTTTAACACTTTGTTTTTGCCACAGAATCAATAACAGTTTTATACTCAAAGACATTCCTCGCTAACAAAAAATACCTCAACGAAGCCTAACCCTATTTCTAAGTTGAAAAAAGAAACAAAAAATAATTTACGCGCAAGTGATGTCGCCAAAAAAGAAGCGAAAAAGACCGTGCAGGTTAGATACTCGTGACTGCAATAAAATACAAGTAATTCTGATTAAACGACTATTTTAGAATATTCTGAAACTTTATATAATTAATAAAATTGTACTATTAAAAGCTAAAGTTATACCGTAAACAATGGAAGTTTTTATCAAAAAAATTTGAACTTTGTCTGACTTTTAAGAAGATAAGATTACGAAAATTGTCAATCACAGAAAATTTACATATAACTTTAGCAATCCTTCAGAAGACAAGTTAAACAGTTTGTTCTTGATTTGGATGAATACTCCAGTAAAGGTTACAGTCGAGCAGCTAATAAAGTAGGAGCTTTTAAGCGCGACTAAACTATCTCTGCCTTTCTACAACTACTGTAATGTGGCTCCTTAGAAATTAATGAGTTAAAGAACTGTATAAAAAAGATTTGGAATTGTAATGAGACACAAAGCGTAGCTAACAGGCTAGCAATATAACTTTGAAACTTTTCTTTTACTTCTGCTGCTTACTCTCTTCTTGTTTCTGTTGACTGTATTATTCAGACCAAATAAGCTTATATTCGCTGATTTTGGCAACATCATAAATACTCTCGTGGTAGGCACTAGCTCCGCTACTACGACTTCATATTTCTAGTATAACAATTACCATTTTCTGCGACAAGTGATGTTGAAGCATTACTTAACGTTTAACACAGTGTAAGTGCAGGAAACAACACAGGAACAAACCTCAAGTTTAATGTTACTATCTTCAGCTGTAGCTAAAATAAGTTCTTTTTTTCTGCTGTTTAAATTCTTATTAAAAGACGTAAACTGCAAATAAAAGTTAGCAACTTTTTTTAAGAAAAAACAAATGAAGTACTGTAGACAATAATCTGAAAAATTTCAAGACTGTACTGTTGGCTATTGTCTCCCGAATAAAAAAATAAACCACACCTGCAAGGTAAGGTCACCAGTGTTCTGCGGTTGAGTAGAATGAATTCTTTCTTTTGATTCCTTACACTCACAAGAATCTTGTCAGCTATAAAAGCTGCAGACAAGTACTCCTGTCTGTATAAGTGAACAATTTTTAAGTACAGCAAAACTCAATCGAAAGAAATAGTCTAGAAACTTTTGAAGTTACTGTTCAAGATCTCATCTGTAACACCTCGCTCACGGCCACTAATTTTTACCGCTCTAATCAGTCACCGCACAAAACTCAGATATAAATATTGTTAACAAACAAATGACAGTGGTAATAATAAGCGAACAGCAACTTTTTAACACTTCGATAAAGTTTATAATCAGAGTTAAAATTGCAGTAACCAATGTCTTCTGTTATAATTACTACGCTGCAGAACCAGAAGTAGTGCTAGGGTGATAAACTAGAATGATCTCAGAATGCAACTTAGCGTTGCTTACTTTAGCCTTAGATTTCTAGCATTTTCAGTTTAATCCATCTTGACGAAGCAAATTTTAAGAAGACAATAAAATCTCATTTTTTGTGACTTTTATTATTTGCCAAATTAAAACTGACGTCTACAATATGACAAAATTCCAACTCCTTCCAAATAAGGCTTTTATGTTCCACAAAAGAACCTCTTCTTAAAATATTCAGAAGAAGTATGAGTGATGTGATCACAAGCACTTATAAAGCTTTACTCACAGTTTTTAATTAATGGTTTTGACATGTCATTAAACATGCTAAAAAAGATGAAAAAATTATGTTAGCTTACTTTATTTGGGCGTCTCTTATTACTAATGACCGGTAAAAAATGGGTAAATATAAGAGGTGTGTTAATGTTAAAAATGAAGAAAAAGCAGAAGATTAAGACGAGAAACAATGTCACTAACTTTTATGAACTAACACAATAATTGTTGCTAAAATTGCGGCTAAAATAAGCAGAATGAAAGTGGTAACAATAATTATAGCAGCCGTAACTCTGTTGCAACACCAACATTTCCGTGGTTTATAGTAAACGAATCGTTCCGCTGGAGATATCCTGCAATGCCAGAAATCTGGTCAATTGAAAAGTTGACTACCTAATTGTCTGCAAATATTTAAAATTAGTTTTATAAAAAGCCTTGAGACTACCAAAAATGATATATTTATGTGCAATTGAAGTGAAATAGTGTCACAAGAAGGCTTCTAAAATAGTGTTATTTCCTGCAGTGATAGTAAACTTTAAATCTGGGTAAAGCGCAGATCAAAAAAAGCCGATTATTCAGTGTGTTTAGACATTGTCTTCTCAGTAGTGATAAAAAAAAAGGAAAAAAGAACTTTTGAAGATTATAAAAATTAAGTGGAAGACAGAAATGTTGGTGAAAAAAATAACTAAACTAAAAACCAAAACAGCATTAAGAATGAAGTTTTGTTGACAGAAGCAAATTTGTTAAGAGCAAATAAATAAAGCGCTGATTATTCTTCGTATACAAATAGCGTAAGTTATGAAAACAGGTATTAATAGTAAAAGGTTCAGAAGAATAAAAATTTGTATTATTAAAAAAATTACTAAAAAATAAT